GGACATAACGGGAATATAAAGGAAAAATGTGTAATTTTCGAGTTATTCGCAAATGAAGTTTCTTTTCTTTCATAACTTTTTGCCTGAATTTTCGGGGTGGATTTCGGGACTATTTTGCCCACGTGAAGGAGAACGAAATCTTCGAAATCGGTGGTTCAATTTTGGGATTTGGTGAAGAATTAAGTGGTTTCCAAGCTTTCATATAGTTTCCCTCTTATCTTTTCCAATATATTTTAAACTAATTGAAATTAAAAATAATTTAATGTGGCGTGAATCACACAACTTTCACTTTCCAACATAATTAAATACCTACCCAAATATGGGTAGTTAATATTTAACTATGCATTTTTATATTTAACTATTTATTGTTTTAAATTATGGAATGGGTGGGGTTGCCAAGCGGGCTAACGCGTGTGCGAACCATCCCGCGTTGGTGGCAATCCGGATAGAAGATAATGTGATAAAATAATACTGAATTCGCGTCCCGGTGCCAAGGGGGCTTTTAACTCCGGTTTAATCCTCCGCCTCCACCTCCTGATCCGGGCTTAACCGCCATATAGCCTTAAAAGCGAAGAAGGGGAGGACAAAAAAAAATAATGTGAACGCAAGACAATAACATCCGTTATTGGTTTATCGGTCTTTATTATGATAATACGGTATCCTTTGTTTAGATGCGATATCAAAAGGAAAATATCTATCGATCAATATCCCTATTCTCAAGGCTGTGTGGTTATAATTTTTCTAATTATAACCTAACATTATTATTATTTTTTATATTTAAGTTGAGAATGATAGTTTTGATACCGACATTAATGAAGATTGAACGTTTCGATTGAATGACCCTCCCCGCAGTAGTGATGTAGTGATGGACTTGACTCGCTCGACCATCACGAACTCACGTAGTGACGGTCTATCGCTTCCCTTAGAGTCGGGTGTGTTTACAGTAGCCTGGGGGCACGAAGCATCTTGATCCCCCCGGGCCAGCTACAGAGGTTGTGTAAGTTGTGTACACTCCGGTCTAGCCTTCCCTCGCACCTGTCTCAACACGTATCCACTCGAAACCGTCTCTTCTCATAATAATTTCACATTACATATTTTTAGCTATATTTAACGGATAGCAATAACCCAGAAATAACTCTCACTTTAGATAGTTATCCTTGTCCCTAAAACATTCTTCCTATTAGCGATATAAACATGTTTATTCGTATACACTATATAACAGGGTTTGAAATCTATAAGTAAAATAATAAAAATCAAATCTGATCAAATTTATATCTGGAATTTTTAAAAATAATTGGACGATTTTTATAAAGGGTGATTTTTATTTTTGATCATAAGTGGTAAAAATCATATCCTGATCGTTATTTTTGAAAAAAAAAATTATAATTAGCAGTAATAATAATTCTTGAGTAATACTTTTTTAAATAAGTTTTTGTAATTTTTTAACAATATAGATATTTTTAGTCTGGAGTAGTATGTGGAGAATATTGTCTACAATTAGCAACAGAATATCTTTATTTTCGAAATTCATTATAAATTTGAGTGGAGGGATAATAATGATAAAAAAAGAAAAAAAAAATATATATATATATATATATATATATATATAATATATTTTTCTTTTTTTATCATAATTATCCCTCCCCTCAAAGTTCTAATGAATTTCGAAAATAAAGATGTTCTGTTGCTAATAGTAGCTAATATTCTCCACCTATTACTACAAATAACATATATATATATATTAATATTTAATTTAATTATAAAAGATGATTTTTATTTTCTGAACAAATTTATTTTTTATTACAATTTAATCATTGCTATTTATGTAAAACCGTATCGCTCAGTGAGTGATTTTTTTATTTTTTTTTATCGAATCAATAAACATCTAAATTTTTATTTACAAATCTGGCATGATTTTAACATTAAAATTGAAATGTAATAATTATTACATGATTTTGTGAACAAAATAATTATGGATTCCAAACCCTGCTATGCAGAGTAAAAGCAGAAAACAATAAAAAAAAAAAATACATAATTTTAATTTTTTATAATTATAATTTATATAATTTAATATTTTTTAAATATAATTTTTAATTATTTATAATCGGTTCCTATTGCGCATTGGCAAGAGTATAATATTTTTGGATCTGGTATCACCAAAAATAATTTTAATTTTTTATAATTATAATTTATATAATTTTATATTTTTTTATATAATTTTTAATTATTTATAATCGGTTCCTATCGCGCATTGGCAAGAGTATAATATTTTTGGATCTGGTATCACCAAAAATAGTTTATTGAAATCGGTGATCCCATGTCCTTAACGCTTCCTTGCTAGAAGTAGAAGGAAAATTATAAGAATAATGAATAGTAAACAGAAAATATATCGAAGGAAACGATTGTAAACGTTCCCGAAAAGTCTATATAGAATTTTGTACTCAACAAAGTTGAGGGTTTTCCAATACTATATATCGAGGAATCATTTTATCATTAGAAGCCTAATTATGGTTTTAGGAAGTGATAATGGAGGCTGCATTTTTTTTTTTTTTTGTATTTTACTGTTTCCATTTACTTTTTTAAAAGTAAATACACACCCATATACATATAATCAACTTAATTATATTAATTTTCAAAATCTAAATAATCAAAAGTTAATTAATTAAGATCATTGAAAATCGTAAAACAAATTGATGGGAGCCGCAGCTGTCTCACGAAAGCCACGTGCGGCCTCCAAACGTTGGGTGATATCAGTTAGTGTAATACTAGAATTAATAAATATTTAATTATTTAAGTAACGTCAATTTAGAAATTAATAGAATTAAGTTAAATGTATCTAAGTGGGGATGTGTGGATTTAGTGATATAGTGATAAATAAAAATAACAACAGTAAAATATAAACTATTATTGCGATTTCTATTTGCACTGTGTAACCTTACTGTGGTCTCCAATGATAGAAAGATTTTTAACCTAAACTATATAATATAAAATACTATCTTCATTCCCCTACTATGCTATAAAATCTTTTTTATTGAAAATTTTCGATTAAAAAAACTATGTTTTTTGTGTTTATTTTTAAATACGAATTTTATTTGTAGATATCCTTATGTGGAAAACATTGAAATTACATGTAGAATAAAATATGTAAAAACACCGGATACATAAAAAAAAGCAGTCCCTACAAATATCATCGTATCTAAAAATAGCATTTTCTTGCCCTGAGTTCATTCCCTCGATTCCTTTTTTGGACATTCGCGTACTCTTGCATATTCTTGATCCTTTCGACGTTGCCCAGGGCGGTCCGAGAGACTTGGGACCAGAGAGTGAAGTAGAGAAGAGCGGTGTTGACGAAAATGGAGAGGCAGGGGAGGTTTCTTGGTCGGCAATTATAGCATACCTCGGCCAGCTTTGTGAAAAACACTCGACCAGTCCTGACGTCCTTCGCTCTCCGCTCCTGCGAATTTCCTTTGGTAACGCACTCGAGGGGAAATATCCTATACGGGTCCTTTGCCGTGGATTGAAGGACCCTCTTGGGTTCGGGGATCTCGTTTAACAAATACCTAAAGTAAAGCATCGGTTAACCGTCACTTCTGCAACGGAGGACATAACGGTTTAGCTTAGAGATGAAAAATATAAATACTTTATCCTATAAAGCATGAATATTAGACAATTCTTTGGTTATTCGTCTTACAATATTTATTTTTTCAAATAACTTATATTTTAAGGGTATTCGTATCGCTCGCATCATTTCGGAAATTAACTTGTTTATTTTCTTGTTCACAAATGTGTAGGTCAATAAATTCAAAACAATATAAAAAAAAAAAAAAAACCAAAAAAAAAACCTTATTTTTGAAAGAAATCATCGATCTCATACAGATAAACCAAAACTACGTCATAGTAGACAGATGTGAGGAGAAGAAAAACAATGAGGCCTTATACATATGTAGGGATGCTGCTATAATATAGATATTATCGTAATAAAGAAAGAAAAATGCTAATAATAATACTAATTTAGGATTCCGATATTTTATTTTTTCGCTAACATTATAAACTCAAATCAATTTAATATTTTGGAAACATAAAATAGGCGATAAGGATGAACGCACCAGTTATGGACAAATTGGATTTTAAATGTAAATAATAAGCTTCATTGTTGATTTTGAGACTTCTGTATCAATAAAGTTCCCAAAAAAAAATTTAAAAATGCCTATCATTGTTGTTTCTATAGTGCCCTTGAGATTAGTACGTTTCAGACCATCCTACTAACAGTTTTGGTAAGAGTAAGTTGAACTTGATCTTTATAGTTAAATAAGGATTTTAGAATTTTTCGGAGGTATTTCCATTACGGCACGGATCCTCTGTCCATTACTAGTGCAAAAAGACGTTTATGTTTTAAATGAAGATTATACCTACATAACTGAATATTTTTTTCCAATTTTAAAGTGTTAAATAAAAAAAGGAGACCCTAGAGATTCTAAACGTCCAACGGAGATGTTTATAACTAAAATAAATACAGACCTTTAAATATCTCCACACTTTATTAAATTGAATTACTTCATATTAATAAACTCAAAAAATATAAATACTAAATTTATTTATTTTTTATTTTTGTCAAATATTTCTATTTATTTGTATATATTAATATTTATAATCAATATTCATTTACCCCAGACATATAAGGATTTGATATTATGTAGATGTAAGTGAAGGCAAGTTTGATCTAGGCAGCAGTTGGTACACAGAGCAGTAGAGGCAGGGTGTTCACCCCAAGTGGGCAGTGGGTGACTGCTCTGGGATTTAGTGGAGTCGAGTGTTTACCGAGCGCTCTGTTGTTCCAAGTGCTCTGCCGGCCAAACATGCTGAGTAGTCGTCGGGTCTTCGTGAGCTGGGTTTGTTTCTTAATGAGTCTCCTTGTTGCAGGTCCTCCCGGTGTTTGAACACTTCCATTGCTTGATGATGCGGTGATGCAGGCCACTCTCTGGCGCCTCAGAACCTTCCCGATGCGGAGAACAATCTACCTCCTGACCGCCCTGGTCGCCTTCTGTCTGGGCCTGTCCCTCGGCCTCGCGATCCCCGTCTACATCCGACTAGATCTCAGGAACAACACCGTCAGGCAGCCCGAGCCCCAGCACTTCGTCAGTGTCAGCTTCCTCAGCGACAACAGCGTCGAAGACACCAGGCCTTCCACTGTAGTCGATGGCATCTACTGGGGCGAGCAAGTCGAAGCGTCATTACCCACAGGATATGGAGAACCAGAAGCGGAGAGGTGGCGACGATTCATCAAGAGTAACCCAGTAGTGAAGATAGAAGAAGGTTGCGGACGGATGCAGAACAGAATGCTGACTTTCGAAGACGGTACCAAGGCCTGCTGCAGGTATCGGCAGAACACGGATCAGATCCAAGGGGAACTGTTCAGCTTCTATTTGGGTCGACTTCTGGGGATAACGAACCTGGCACCCTCTGCACTCGGAGTGGTCCAGAGCAGAGACCCCGTCTGGTCCAAAGTCCGTTCACAGATCAACCTCGCCCAGTGGGCCGAAGAGAGGCCCGTCGTCCTCACCAAGTACGTGGACGACCTCGGGCCCGCTCAGATACCCAAATCGTTGAGAACGCCCTCGAGAAAACTACATCCACAAGATGTCCAAGGGGACAAAGAGCGCCTCATCGAGCTGGCGCAGTGGTCAGATCTCATCGTCTTCGACTATCTGACCGCGAACCTCGACAGGATCGTCAACAATCTTTACAATCTGCAATGGAATCCAGGTATGATGGACGCGCCGGCTCATAATCTCGCCAAGAGCTCTAAATCCAACCTCTTGTTGTTCTTAGACAACGAGAGTGGTCTACTTCATGGATACAGGCTCCTCGACAAGTACGAATCGTATCACAGTGTACTGCTCAACGCTCTCTGCGTCTTCCGACGATCGACTGTGGAGATGGTTGAGCAGTTACGACGCAGCGGTAACGTCGGAGATCTCCTCAACTCTCGGCTGAGCTCGGAGCGGGACGCTATCCCAGGCCTCCCGGACAAGAGCGCTCGGATCCTGAACGACAGGCTGAACCGAGTGCACGACCAGGTGGAGTGGTGCAAGAAGCAGTACCCGCGATGAAGGAGGTCTCCTGTACCCTCCGACTGCTGTGATAAACCAAAGAACGCGACACTCCAACTCGTCTTCGAAGGACAATTAGTTTTTTTATTTATTTACTTAATATTTTAGGCCAATTCGGCCTCGCCTCGATCGTGCCTTGTGAACTATATCAATTTTCGAATGTGACTAGTCCATTGTTTGTGTGTACATGTAGTGCGCCTTATATTTGTAATTAACTTCGTGTAAATAGTGATCGACTTGTGATGTGCCCATCTTCCATTTGTATCATATATAAATATATATAATAATTCGTGATATACTTTAGTTTCGGTAAATGGATATTAAATTGTATTCATTTGTAAATAATTTGTATACAATAAACTGAACATATAAATTGTAGATTAACACTGTTTATAAAAAAAAAATTGACATAATAAACTATATATTTTAGGAATGCATATATGTTTCTTTCCTTGATTATAAACCTAAACTTCCACAATTCAACAGACTTTATAAAAAACTTTATTCATTCAGATGAATCTTATAAAATTATAATAAATCATCTTTAAAGCTTCAAGATTTTAAGACACAATTAAAGAACTATCTCAGTCTAACTAGAATTCCCTGATCACCTAGTATACATAAATAAATTGTGTTTTCATATTAATCTACTAATTGAATAAGTATGAAATGAAAGCCCAACTCTATTATAAGTTGGAAGAAAGAAAAAAATAAATATTAATCAGGGACATTTTGTTTCCTATGAATAATTATAATGATTAATTATTTGTCCGGCATTGGAAAACGAAGAATTAATTAAATTACATAGTTATCGAACCTTAAAATTAAAATATAGGAAAAGCACAAGTAAACATATAAAAATGTAGATAAATATATATATCAGTCTATTCAGATATTTTAGCAATAAGCAATATTGATAATATATACTTATCTGAAAGATTACAGTAAAATGAGGTTGGTAGCTCTAAAATACGAAAATAATATTCTTACATATACTCGGAAGATTGATCGCTGAGGAGATGGAAAAATACATGGTGTTTAAATAAGGTCAAGGACGTGAAGGATGATGATTTTGGTATGGAGGTAGGTGGAGAATTCCAAAACAAGGTAGCACGTATGACAAGGGATTTTTTAAAGGAAACAGTGTTTGAGAAGGAATAATCATTTTTGTGGGCTGGAATATCGTGTTGAATGAATGGACCGACGAACAAGGAGTACAGAAATCAAAAAGGTAAGAAGGCTTTTTGGTTGTAAATGTTCGGAAGTTGTTTAAGTTTGGTTTAAGATTGGCAATCAGTCTTTTATTTGGATCTCATTAAAATGTAAAAAATTATCTTGAAGAATTTAAATAGTTTTTATTTTATTTGTTATTAATATAATTGAAGAAATATTTTGATATAATTTAATAATAACATAAATTCAATACGGAATAATTATTTATATAAAATTAACATTAAGTTTCTCTGATTGAAGTTTTATTTGAGTTGTAGATTTTAAACATTGTTATTTTAGCCACTAAAAAATATAACATAAACCAATGGAAATTATAAAGAAAAATTTTTGGGATTCCGTCTTTTGTGAACTTTCGACTCATGGTGCAACAAAAAATCTGATAATAACAAAATATTTAAAATTAAGAATACATTAAATAAGTACAGTATAAAGTTAAACACTATTTCATTTTTTTTTTTATATCACAATACTAATTCCTAAAAATAATTAAATAATATTATGATAATATAGTGCCTACACAAACAAGAATTGAAACAGACCACGCCAGAAAAACGTGGTCTTAGAGACGTTTTTAATCACTAAAATATAATATTAAATTATTTACTATGTGTAAACATCATAACATACAATTGTAATACAGATAGTAATAAATCGTTTATTGAAAAGTAATTAACTTCAAAATAAGTAAGTAATTAAATACAAAATAATCCAAAAAAGGTATTTTCATTTTATTTTATTCGTCCAAATTATCCCACTTGACAAAAAAAATAAAAATAAAATAAATACGATGTTTTAGTTAAATTACACTTAAATTAAAATTTAGGGGGATAAAGTTTCTTCCAAGGGTATGAAATTCTCATGACAACATATACACATGACAGCGTACACGAAGTTTTTGTTGTATAGACAAAAAAAAAAATTAACAGAACTTCATGCAGCGAATTCGAAACAACTGCGGAGATTAAATAGTGAAATAGCAGGCTTCAAAAGGTTTGTAACATCAGAAGAAAAATATAATTGAAATTAAAAAAAAAACAATATCTCATTAAATATTAAAATAATAAATCGGCAACTATTCACTCTTTGCAATCGATTAAAATGAAAAAAATAATAATATAATAAATTATCCATAATGTATATTAAGAAATAGGGTTATTACATAATGTCGCTTTTACCCCATAGAACATAAAAAATTATAGAATACGATCATTTAAATTATCCTGGTGTTTATTCCTGATACTAAGCGAAAGTACATCAGAGATTCTATTCCCGGATTAAAGATAGGAAATTAGTTACATTTTCATTCAAAAAATTAAAGAGAAAAAAAAGAGATGTAAATAAGTATTGAGAGTACTAAGATAGATGCAAATAACAAGTTTATTTACAATTTTTTTGTACTTTATTGAATAATAATACAATCAGCCACTGTTGGAGGGCCATAAGTATTAAGGCTACATGTTCTCATTCATACAACAAATAATAGAGAAATAACTATAAATATAAAAAGTAAATAAATAATACTGATAAAAAAGTAAATAAATAAGAAAAAATAAACAAACAAAATAAAATAAAATCTTTTCACAAAATGTCTATGAAAACATATTTACTATACCATGTGAATATTTCCACTATTAAGTGAAGATTTTCTTCACCAGAAACAGCAGTACCACCCCACATCAAGAAAAATAACATAAGAAAAGAACACAAAACATAATATAACATAACAAGAAAAAAGAACATGTTAATAGGATATTTATTGCTGGTTTAAATGTAATATAAAATTGAACTATTTATTTATCCATGCCCCATGCCTGTCATGTCATATTTGGCTGTATCGCCATCATCACATTTGGTGATTGTTAACAATAAGTTGACAGACACAAATACATTTTTATTGAAAAAAAAATTATTTATTCAATAATTTATATCAATATTCAGGTGATATATATATATATATATATATATATATATATATATATATATATATATATATATATATATATATATATATAGGAGTATTAGGGCTTACATGGTTTTTGTATCAGTACCCTCAATTATAAAAAAGAAATTACTTTTTATTCCTCAATATATAATTAATTCTAACTCACTGACATTTCATATGACAAAACCGAATGTTCATCCAATAACGATAAATTATAATACTTGAATATTGGTCTAGCCTGTTCGGTCTTAGTGAACAGATCGTGTCTGTACTTCAATTAGTTTTATTCTTAACTTCCAAGTTTCAGTGAGTTTTAAATTACTAAAATATCTAGTTAGTATATTGAAGTATCAGTTTCTAAAATTTCGTCAAATTCGGACGATTGACTTCGAAGTTATTTGAAATCTTAACTTAGACGAGAAGGCAGCCATTGGAGGAGCCACCAGAGCTGATGCCGTGGAGGGGATTCCCATTGACAAGAACTCTGATGGTAAACAATTGCTAATACCAACTGCTGGTTTGCAAAGCTGCAGGATTACGACGACCCCCTGGTAAACAGTCTACATTCTGGTATATTAAGCAAACATAGTCTCATCCTTTGTTGTGACGGCCGGACCGGTTGGACTATTAATATATCATATCTTTGGTAGAATATTTAAATATACAATAGTAAAATTAAATAGAATTCTATTAAACACTGTTGTATTTCCCTTTCTCTCAAAAATATAAAAAGAAAAAAATAAGTTTTTACTATCATAATTTATTATTAATAGAACGTTTTAAAGTGGACATTTTTTTTTTTTTTTTTTTTTTTTTTTTTTACTATTGCTGAACTGAATTTTTTCTTTTTTTAAAAGTATTTAATGATCCTATATTTTGTAATTTATTTTATATATTAGGTTTGATAATGTGATGTGGATAGGTTTGTATATTGTTTTATTTTAGATTATAACTACTTAAATTTTTATCTTTTGATTTTTAACTGATTTAGGCAATTACTATTTTTATTGTTTTATTTATTTATTCTTTTAGATTCTAACGTTTTAACAGTTAATTGATTTTACATTTTAACTCATTTTAGGAAATTATTTTATAGATTTTAACCTTTTTAGATTTTAACCTTTTTAGACTTTGACTTTTTAACTTTTTTTTAGATTTTAACTTTTTAACTTTCTTAGATTTTAACTTTTTTTAGATTTTAACTTTCACTTATTTTTAACTTGTACTTAAATTTTAACTTTAAACTTTTTACTGATTTTATATTGTAACTTATTTATAAGCAATTTATTTGATAGATGTATATTTTTTTTTTAAGCTTTTATCGATTTTATATTTTAACTATAACACTATTTAACACTTAATTTTATAGTTTTTAACTTTGTATTTATTTATTTATTTAATTATGCACAGATTGTTTCAATCATGCGCGTGGTGGGCATAGTTTAGAACGAAAAAAAAAAAATATTGCAATGAACAAAATACCAACGAAGAAGATCGAAGTTGGACAAAAGGTATGGGTTCTGAGAACTGGAGGACCTGTTCAAGAGGCGGTTGTTGCCTCTGTGATGTCTGTGGCTACTGCAGGAGGCGGAGATAATAAATTTGTTAAAGTGGAATGGCCTGACACAGAAGGTGTGGTATTGGGAAAGACGGTGTCGATAGATGATGTCTTTCCCAGATTGCCAAATGATCCGCTGAATGTCGCAGAGGTACTTAGTGAGCGGCAAAATGAAGCTCTACGCCCTGATGATAAAGTTTGTCCGATATGCGGGCTTTCTTTTAAGGGCGAACGAGGTCTCGGAACCCACATTGCAAAAAAACATCC